AATGGTTATAGAGCATTTTTGTATATATATAATACACACCCTATAAGGAGCGATCAAAAATTTTCAAGGAAAGATATTTGGCCTATATGGAGTAATATAAGTGAGTTCTCAGAGTACAGTACATACGTAAAATTTGGTGAAAATCAAAGAACTGCATTTTGTATTCTTCCACTATGTACGGTTTGAATTTTGACCTAACGGAAGTTCAAAAAAAAGGTGGTTGCACATTCAATTTCACACGAATGTTTCACCGTTCCTACCGTATTCCCGTTCCACGTCCTTTGTTTTGAACGGAAATACGAATGAGCAACAAAGCCACATGGAGTTTACTTTCTCAACGGGGGATTTTTTGGGTGATGAAGTACACGTCATTCCCAAAATTTTTTGCATTTTTTCTTCTTACGTTCAGTTTCAAAGTACATGAGATCAAACTTTACCACTTGTTCTATCAGTTACATGCAATACTAACATTGCCTTATTTAGTAATAATTTTGGCATCATTACTATCAAATAATTAAATTTACCCCCAAATTCTCTCAAATTATTGTTCTTTCCATGCGGCGATTACGAACCATTACGAAAACATTTCAGCTCCATTTAGGATCATCCGTTACAAATTGCCGAAAGGCTCTTCGCTACGGCTTTTGTTTAGAAAACAAAAAGCGATCTGGTAGGCGTGGTGATACAGTATATAAGGAGGATGTGAAAGGAAATTCTTGCACAGTCTTGGTGATGAATCTCCTTAGGGCATGGGAGGCGGAAAGCTTATTAGAGGCCTTTTTAGCGGGTTCATAACAGGGCTTCGACCGATTTGTAGGATTTTTGTGAACAAAGGGGAAGAAAGATTAGTCTAGGCACTGTTCTCTGGGCAGCCTTAAATTTTGCATGCAGAGTCTGGGTCAGCTGCATATAAAATACGAGAAATTTAGTCTCTAGCTCTGTAGAGGGAGTTGATGGATTCTAAATGTGTCGGTCAGAGACAGGCTGCTGTTTTCAAGGCTAAAACGTACAGTTTTTAATAAACCTTCGCTGAGATACGTCCAGAAATTTTTTGTCTTTCCAGATCTTCTTAAATTTTTGTATGTTGTAATATTTGCTCTAAGCAGGCCGCCAACGCTGAATTTCGAATAATAATAACCAAGCGTTGTCAAAAAAAACGAAACCTGTGAATTTCTGAAGACTTTGTTATGACACTGCGATAACTTTTATAATTTTTTTGCTAATTGATTACCATTTTTAAACCTGTTTTAAGTTTTAAAAGTGTATCTATATGCGCATTTCCGTCAAACTTTTACGAAATCCGCGTGTAAAATTTGCACATGGACGCACTGCAAATTAACTTTTAAAACGTTTTCGAACTTTTAACCAAAAACCCATTAATTTTTGATTTGGAACGTTCAAAAATCTTGCCAAAATAGAATGTAAACGCATACGTTCGCCATTACCTTCTCAAATCATTGCATGTTCGTTTTTGGGCCACTGTAGAAAGCCGAACCCACTAATTGGGACGGTGTTCCATCATGCCCAGCCTCCTGGGAAATGTTTTGTCGTTTACGTAGCGAGCATTCTTTGTAAGTTCACACATGTAAAACCGGCCCCATTTATGGGTACGTGAATGGGAGCCCGTAAGTGTCGGACGAGAGTAATGACAGGTGATTTGGCTATATATGGGAGATGAGGCGAGGGGTAAACGGAGGTATATAAACGAGATATTGGTCTACAAAGTTTGGATGAGTCTGGGGAGGCCGTGGGATAACTTTTTCAGGAATAAGAAGGATAGGTAGGAATTTTTTAGAGGGCTGACAATCTAGGTTTGGTACGGCTGTTTAGCTTCAGTCATAATATCTATTATTAAAATTTTTTGTCACTCTGCATGAGGCACTGACATATTCAGCGATCTTACGCAAAATTAGGAAAGCGCTATAAGAGAAATAACTGTTATAATTTTTCCCATAGCTTTGCAAGTTTTTTTAGGGGAGACAAAGATTTCAATGAACTATCAGTGTGTCGGGAAAATAATGAGCACAATGTCGCTGCGCCAATCGCATTGCTGAAGTGAAAAGCAATTTGAATTTGTCACGACACAATTCATTTTCTCGGCGGCGATGCGATTTTCTAGTTGACAGAATGCTCATTATTTTCCCGACACACTGAAAATCTTGAGCGATATTCCAAGCTTTCACTGTTCAATTCAAAACGTCTTGTTCATAACGCCATTCCACCCGAACTTTAACATTTTACCCGTCTTAGCCTTGACGTTCTCCATTATCCTCGTACGGTAGAGTTTTTTTTAGGAAGTGTCCGAATTGTTTGGAACATGCGTCCGTTAATTAGTCACGGTGTTGCAAGCATATTGTCTTCGGCGTGCGTTAGAGTGCGGAATGAAGATGATGTCGGGGGCTGACATCAGTGTTGAGATTGGGTTTTCGTCTGGGGCGTTACCGTTATAAATAGAGGGTCTCACAAGGGTTTACTATGTTTTACGATGTACTTTGGTTGATGATGTGAGATTGGGTTTAAAAGTAGACTTCTGTTGTTATAGAGGCATTGCAAAGCTTTTGTGTGATTTAGGGACAATAAAGATGCCGTAGATTATGGATAAAAAAGACTATGCAAGAAATGAGTATTAGAAGTACGCTTTGATTATGTTTCACTTTATTTTTCCTAGAAATAGAAGTATGTACAATTGGAATTATTACAAATGGCTGATTTTGAGAGCCGTAAACCGGTAATTTTGTTATCGTTGTTCGCAGAGCTCGTATTTATTTTTTTTGAAGATAAACAAAATTTTTCCCATTTATTGCCACAATATCGACGCTTTTTGTATACTTATAATAATTTGTTTTCCGTTTTAATGTTTCTTTTATTTCCCCTCTAAATCCCTCAATTTTTCATCACAAGGTACTCTTTTATATAATTTTTCATGCGAATCAAAATATGAACTATTATTACTGTGTCCTTCAACAATCTGATCCGTCTCGTCGACTCTCTAGATTATAACCCTTTTCAGTGCTCAAACTTCTTGATTTTAAACATCAACCTCACCTTGTAGTAAATTCCCAAACCTCAAACATATCACCCACTCTTCCGTCCCTCAATTTCACTTGAGGTGTAATCGTGTTTACATAGATTAGAGTGGAAATACTTTGACTCATTACGGTCGCTTCCTGGTTTAAGAATAATACACAGGAATATCAACACTAATCATACATGAAACAAGATTAGCCTTGATTTTGGTTGTCATAGGATTAGGGGGAAGCCCGGAAATTTCAAAGGTAATTATACTATACTTTTGATTTATTGAGAGTAAATTAGACCTAATCGTAAGAAATAGAAATTTCGCTCATTTTTAAAAAATTCTGCGAAGCGAAAAATCGCCTACGGCAATTTTTTCTACAAAACTTTGGCTATCACTTTTTGCCAAGTTTCTACAAAAACTTTGGCTATCACTTTTTGCCAAGTTTCTGTGATCGTGGGAGAACGTTGGATTTCCATGTTTTTACTTGGAAAATATTACATAAACAGCTCATGACTTGAATGTTAAACATGTTTCCCAGACCTGACTGTTTCCAGCTAAAACTAGAGTAATTTAGTCTTTGTACTTTCAAGTTTATTCTTTCCGGGAATTTACTTTGTGAAGTATTATGGGGTAAACTTTTTGCTTCTTTCGAGTTTTTTGTTTGTCCAAGGTATCAAAAAATTAAATAATTGTTTAATTTTATAATATATTTTCCAAAGATTCGGCCCTTTTCAGTTTATGACGTATACATGTTTAGAGTGGAACAGGTATAAATTAGGGTCATCAAAGGGTTTCACGATGAACCAGAGATTAATTACGGCATGTTTGACAATTGAGATGTTCTCAAGTACGTCAGTTATTGTTATATTTTTCTTTAATTCTGCACGGTTGTTAGGCCAACAGCACGTCTCAATTCCCGTAAAATTTTGGTTTGCGTTTTGCAGCGAGGTATTCAACAACCAATCCCTCTGAGATCTCATCCAATCGCGAATAAATTGATTCTTTACATACGTATGTATGTGTACATGTATAATATATGTTTTTCGCAAAACCACAAACTGGAGTTTACTGCATACATATTTTTTATTCCCGTTTTCTTATTTGGTCCGTAGGTTTAACTGCGCTTGTAATATTAGTAGCAGAAGAAGACAAACAATCAACGGAAATGACCGCTTGGCGTAGGTTCAAGAATTTTGGGAAGTTCTTGGTCTTCGCATATAAAACACCTCTCTTTTTTCACAGATCTCCTTCAAAGTGCATTTTAAGAAGTGATGTTTTTAGTAGAATCTTGTCTGCTGTTGTACGTGGAAGCATAGGTAACATGATAAAAAGGGAAATTTGATGACTTTTCCACCTTTTTTGGACTGTCCTCTGAGTGTGTAATTCTACTACGAGGAGTTTTTTTCTAGGAATGGCAATTGTTTTTTTTTTTATATTGCCTTTGTTTTTCGGCATCACATGAAGTTTGAAGTGGGTGTGGGGGAAAATTTAAGGGTACGAAACAAGACTTTTTACTTGTTTGAGGAAATTATTACAATGTATACCGTATAATATTTGATTTAATCGGCCAAATCTTCTATTTTTGCATATCAAAAGTAAAGCATCATGCCGAATTTTGATAAATCTAACAATAGACCAACCGTATTTTACATTTTTTGCTTTAATCTTTGGCACGCTAATAATCCGATTGTTACATGAATATCATCAATATTTTGCAAAAATAATCCGGAAATTTTCCTTGTCACATAGATTTTTCACCAATCTCTTACTTCCTGTAACATCTACAGGCAGTATTTTTTGCTTTACAATATCAAAAAACACTTGTATTTTTCGTCAATGTTTTATGACATTTTTTCTCCCAAAATTTTTTTTTCGCGTTTCGAAATTTTATCGCCATAAAATTGATGTCAATAAATTGTATTCATGACCTTTTCCAGGTTCATCCTTCCTACGTTGGGCTCCAAAGAAAAGTGTTTTCAAGATGTCGCCGTTCCGTGGAGTCTCTCTCGCTTCCGTCCTATTCGCCGTCCTCTTCTTGGCCACAACGTTGAGCGCCTTCTTGCAGGACGAGGTGCCGCTGATCACGGAGATTGAGGGGGTAAGATGCTAGCCGATTTGCAACAAATAGGACCAATATTATTATGTATTGTTTGATTTTTTGGTAAAGTCAGGCATAGAAATTTGGATTTCCAAAAAGCTCAAATGTTTTCTATTTTCTTGGGATTTTGCGTACGGGCTCTAAATGGGAGTTATATCAAGTTATTAGGGCCCGCAGAGTGGATCGGCGTAGCCGATCCACTCAGCTCTTTGCCGCCGCCTGTGTTCACAAAATCGATGAAGTCATCAAAATTCAGTCATCTGCCGACTTAGAATCATAGCTTTTTTTATCACAAGCCAGCTGAGAGTCCGTCATAAATCAAGCAAAACCTTATTGCTACTTTGCTCCAGGCTCCCTTCAAATCTAAGCACAGTATCTTATGAAATTCAAATTTTGACATGTCCGGTCAACCTTTCCTTTACCCTTCCAAAAAAAGCATACTTGTTACTCTATAAAAAACTTAACAACAATAATAATCGCTTTCCAATTCCAGGTAGCCAAACGTGCCATTAACCCCTTCATGGACTCAATTGGCAAACGCTCCGGCAACGTCTACGTTCCTGGAAGTCGTTTCTATCGACACAGTCTCCTCTTCCAACGTCCTTCGAGATATTTCGACTCTCTGGCGGGCCAATCGTTGGGTCGCCGCTAACTCACGAAACTGCAATGGAAATCCTTTAGATCTCAACCGTAATCTCAGTCATCTTCCTCGTATTTCTTTCGCTGTCCAATGTAAAAATTTTCGAAAAAAATGAGTACTGTAAAATACGATTGTCAACGCAGTACAAGTGTCAAATGTCATTCCTTTGACCGGACCTCACCGCTCCAAGACCTTTGCCCGTTATCCGACCGATTTTCGTTTCAGTGATCCCTCGATTATTGTATTGTAAGATGCAGTAGCCCTTGGATTACTGTGAGATGTTTATCTGTAGATCTGCTTTTCCTCTCCGCCTTTTATTTCGACCATTTTTGTGATAATATTTTTGCCTGTTTGAGTATTTGAAAAGTAAAGTTTTTCGAATGTGTTAAGAGATGTGAACGGACTTGGAGTGTGAAGCAATTTTTGCGGTTTTCGCTGTGAAAAAGCGGTCTTCTTGTGCGACACTGTGCTCCAAAATCTTGCAAGGGAAGTCACTTTTATCGCATGAGCGATCCGTTATGGTGATCCAGTGGATGTTGAAGACCACAGGCAGTATAAGAAGCATCCGAATTTCCAGTGGAACCTTGTGAACCTTTTAGGCGGTTCTCACGAAAAGTTATGGCACAAAAAACCCACCGAAAAAACAAAAGTTTTCCGGTGTCAGGAAACTCAGTCTGTTCAAGGAACTCCGCAAAAGCCACGTAAACTGTTTATAATAAACAATTTTTGAGGTCTCAATGAAACTGGGTATCGGAACTCCAAAGGTCAGAGTTGTGAGGGTATTCATACTCATTTCTTTTGCGGTGTAACGTTGTGGATGTAATGGAAAGTTAAACCATTTCCCATTAAGCCTATCCCACATCTTCTTTGCTTCCAGCGTCAGTTCATTGTAACAATCTCCGTCGTTTTTCATATCCTAAGGCATATCCCGATATTGAAGACTATTACAACGTATCCGCATGGCATCCGGTCGTTTACCAGATCTGGGCCTGCCGGCGAGACATTCGCGAGCACGATGAGAAGACCCGGGGATCCTAAAAAGCTCTTTATCCAAAAGTCCCAAGCACCTACCCTAAACAAATAAATGTCTAAAACGTATGATCATATTTTATTTTACATTAAGCTGATAATACATCGCAATGACATTCGGAACTAATTTAGAAGCCATGGGGGTTCTTTGATGGGGACGCGAGCATTATCATCGTCCAGAAGTTTGTGAGGATGTGGATGCGGGTGAGGGTGATCGTGATCGTCCTCACATTCATGGGGATGAGCGATGGGACCAGCGGATACTGAATGATAAAAAAATTGAAATCAGCACTTTAGACCATGAAGTTCTCTATTGAAGTATTTGAGAAGAAATAAAATATTTGTTTTTATAACAACAAATTTTGTTGAAATGGAGTTCACCTAAGAATCTCAACGATATTAAAACAAATTCTGGTAAAACTGGATTCCAACTTCCCCAAGAATTCAGAGAAACATCAACAGCAAAAAATCCCACAACACGGCTAACTCCCAAAAAATCTACGTTTACTCCAAGAACTCCCTTTCACTCACCTCCTATCAGCATCACGACGAATGCCATCAGCAGGAAGAAAAAGTTCATTTCCTGACCACGACGAGACGACAAGATTGGAGATCACCAAAAAGAGCAGACGGAAAGGGAGCAATGAGCTTTGACTTGACCTTCTGACCTTTTTTAGTGCTTGCTTTCCCAAGAATATTCAAATTTTAGGACGCATGGTATACACTGCTCGCCAAAATTATAAATACACTTTTAAAATCGCTGTAACTTTTGTGGTTTTCAATAAAACTGTGCCATATTCGGCCCCAATGTGTACCAGTGTACTATAAATCTTGTGCCAAAAAATTGTTTTGAAAAGTTTCCACAATTTGGAAAAAAGTTGAAAAAACCGAAATTTTGGAGATTTTCTTTGCGACAAAATTACAAATTCACGCAATATTTTGCAATTTTCTTGCTGTTGGCGCTGAAGCAAAGTAAGTTATTTGGCTTAGTGGTTTCCTTAGGTGTCCTTCTGGCATGCTACGAGAAAAAACAGTGACAGAATTTGAAAAAGGCGGAATTACGACCCTGAAACCGCAAAGACCTCGGGTTTGCCAGATTTCGGCTCAGGTAGGCCGTTCAGCCGAAGTTGTGAAGAACTACTTGGCTCATCCGGAAGCCTTCAACACGTCTAACCGTTCTGGCAAAAAAGGTTTACCACCGCGGCAGAATTAAGGCAGAGAAATCCGCTGAGCTTCCAACTACACCATCTCTGGGTCTCATATAGAGCAAGAGAAAGGTCTCAATTGTAGCAGGATAGCTATGCTGAGGGCACTAAGACGCAGCGATGTCATCACTGGACATCATATGAAGTCGTGCCCCAAGTTGGCCCAGGTTCGGTTAGCGCGCGACTGAAACTGGCCAAGGTAATTTTGACAAAACAGATCCTCCAACATTACGGCACAAGAAGTAACGCGGTTCTCTTCTGATGTAATGACAGTGATATGTCCTATGTGGAAAACCGTCGGGGACATCGTCTGACCATGCAATCTGCAAGGAATTCGGTACTGCAACGCTGGGAAATTGACCCTTGACTACTCAACCTGTTTTGTCAAAATTACCTTGGCCAGTTTCAGTCGCGCGCTAACCGAACCTGGGCCAACTTGGGGCACGACTTCATATGATGTCCAGTGATGACATCGCTGCGTCTTAGTGCTCTCAGCATAGCTATCCTGCTACAATTGAGACCTTTTTCTTGCTCTATATGAGACCCAGAGATGGTGTAGTTGGAAGCTCAGCGGATTTCTCTGCCTTAATTCTGCCGCGGTGGTAAACCTTTTTTGCCAGAACGTTTAGACGTGTTGAAGGCTTCCGGATGAGCCAAGTAGTTCTTCACAACTTCGGCTGAACGGCCTACCTGAGCCGAAATCTGGCAAACCCGAGGTCTTTGCGGTTTCAGGGTCGTAATTCCGCCTTTTTCAAATTCTGTCACTGTTTTTTCTCGTAGCATGCCAGAAGGACACCTAAGGAAACCACTAAGCCAAATAACTTACTTTGCTTCAGCGCCAACGGGAAGAAAATTGCAAAATATTGCGTGAATTTATAATTTTGTCGCAAAGAAAATTTCCAAAATTTCGGTTTTTTCAACTTTTTTCCAAATTGTGGAAACTTTTCAAAATAATTTTATGGCACAAGATTTATAGTACACTGGTACACATTTGGGCCAAATATGGCACAGTTTTACTGAAAACCACAAAAGTTACAGTGATTTTAGAAGTGCATTTATAATTTTGTCGAGCAGTGTATTGTAAAAAAATCTTTTTTAAGTAAAAAAATCTTTTTTAAGTAAAAATCTTTTTTTTATTAGTTTTTTGAATGTGTTAAGAGACGTGAACGGACTTGGAGTGTGAAGCAATTTTTGCGGTTGTCACTGTGAGTAATGGGCTTCTAAACAAGGGAAGGCGATCCATTCTGGTGATCCAGAGGGAGTCGAACTCCTCAGGCAGTATAAGAAGCATCTGGGTTTTTAGTGGAGCCTTGCGAACCTTGTTCCAAACGTGTTTACGGGCGGTTCTCAGGCAAAGTTATGGCACAAACAACCCACCGAAAAGACCAAAGTTTTCTGATGTCAGGAAACTCAGTCACACCTCTGTTCAAGGAACTCCGCAAAGGCCACGTAAACTGTGTATAATAAACAATTTTTGAAGTCTCAATGTTCAATTGTCAGTCACAACAAAATTGAGTACCGGAACTAAAAAGGTTAGACTTGTGAGGGTATTTATCTCACTTCTTTTGCGGTCTAACGTCATGGGTGTAATGGAATGTTACACTATTTCCCGGAAGCCCATCCCACATCTTGTTTGCTTCCGGCGTCAGTTCTTTGTAACAATCTCCGTCATTTTTTATATCCTTTCGCTTATCCCGATATTGAAGCTTATTACAACGTATTCGCAAGGCATCCGGTCGATCACCAGATCTGGGCCTGCCGGGGCCCAGATTTGGCGGGGTCTGCCGGGGCCCATACAAGTTCGAAACCACAGCCAAGGAGGTATCAGTCTGTCGGAAAAATAACGGCGGATTGTCGCAGCAAAATGTCTTGCCTCTCCGCTGTCGCGCACCAAATCCCAAGCCGCGGCTTGCAGTCGCAAAGCGATGATTGGCGATTTCGAGTCGCGACGATCCGCCGTTATTTTCCCGACAGACTGATATGTACCCATGGATGGCTCCTTGCGGTCGCATGGCGCAACTTTGTCGTTGTGCTGAGTTTTTCTGTTTTGAGATGGATCTCCGAAGTGAAGGCAACCCAATTATTTTTGGATTCCGAAGACGAGGATGCCGAGATGGATTCACCAAGGACCCAGATTCATCGAAGACGCAATCGGACGAGTCTGCGGAGGACATCAGATTACGCTGGCGAAATCCGGTTGCAATCGTAAGCGCAGAGGCCGAATCCGTGCGGCCGACAACAGACGAGGGAGGATGCGGCTTGAGGAGAGTAGGTGAAAATTCGTGATTCACTTGGGTCTTTCGTTTTCCTTTTTGCTAATTTCAGAGCTTTCAGTGACCGGCTTGCTGTACAAGTATCAGCATCACACTTGCTTGGGTACTTTCTACCTCCAGTGCACCGGAGCTCGGGAGTGAAAGGAATCCAATAACCCTCGATGATGACGTAATGGTCCAAGGTCCACAAAATCACCCAAGGAACCATTGGACGTAATAAATATCAGTATTACACTGTGCTAGGTCCTCTCTATTACCAGCGCACGGGCTATGACCTGTGGCACTTCGTAAAAAATCAAAAGAAGCGCCGATTCTTCAGCCGACGGCCGAATGGAGCCCCATTTCCAGTTCCGGAAAACTGGAAGTCAAGGTGTGGATGTCACGGGGTGATGCCTGGGACCAGAAGCACTGACGAGCACCAATAATCCCCAAATTTTTTGTTTTTTCTTTCGTGATCGCTTGATAAGTATAAACTTGAATATTTTCAACTTTTACGTTTTTGATATGCATCGAGTATTCGACGTTTTTCCGCCGATGAGCGAAAGGAATCCACGCAAAAGAGAGCGGCCGCTGTTCTTCCAAAAAGAGCGACTGGAGGTGCTCTTTTGTGGCCGGGGCAATTCGGACTGATCACCGCGGAGAAACCAGAGGGATCCCTTGGCCACGTGGTGCGCGGAGCATGATTAGAGTCCAGAAGTCGTGGGTTCAACTACTGTCGAGGGTGCCGAGGGTTTGACTGTGGAATTCATAGCCGAGTTTTTAGCCGCAAATGATTTCTTGAAAATTTTTGCCCGCATTATTCGGCGGCCTAGGCACTTGCAAGGGAGCACGATAAGACCCGGCAATATTTACAAAAAACTTCAAAAGAATAAAAAATATCAAAAAGTGCCAAGAACCTAAGTTAAACAAATAAAAATCTAAAACTTATGACCACTTTTATTTTACATTAAAATGATAATACATCGCAATGACATCCGGAACTGAATTAGAATTTGTGGGGATGTGGGTGTGGGTGATCGTGATCATGATCGTGACCGTCATGGTCATGGTGACCGTCATGGTGATGGTGACCCTCTTCACATTCATGGAGACGATGATGTGGACCAGCGGATACTGAATGACATAAAAATTAAAATTAGCACTTTAGACCATCAATTAAAATACTTGAGAAATAAAATATTTTTTTTTCTAACAAAAATTTCGTTGAAATGGAGGTTACCCAAGAATCTCGACAATCTGGATTCCAACTTCCCCAAGAATTCAGAAAAACATCAACAGCAAAAAATCCCACAATACGGCTTATTCCTAAAAAATCTACGGTTGCCCCAAAACTCACCCGCGACCAGCATCGCAACGAATGCCATCAGCAAGAAGAAGAAGTTCATTTTCCAACCACGACGAGACGACAAGGTTTGAGATCACCAAGAAACAGCAGACGGAAAGGGAGCAATGAGCTTTGACTTGATTTTCCGACCTTTTATAGTGCTTGCTTTCCCAAGAATATTCAAATTTTAGGGCGCATGGGGAATTATAAAAAAATCTTTTTTAAAAATTTTTCCATTTTTTTATCTCTCTGGTGAGGCAACCGGGTTTTGGTAATTTTTTTTGATTCGGAAAAATTGATCAAGAGTAGATAAAAAAAACCTTAAAAAGCCTGCATTAATACAGTGAGGAACCTGATCCAGTGACAAAAAACGTGTCATTTTGCGTATCAAAAATGTGACAAAATGCTTCCCCCTCCAAGTGAAAAAACGTCGTTGGAAGGGCGCGCCCTTTCCCTCACAAAAAAGAACGCGCGTGCCTTCGAAATCGGAGCTTTTTTCACTTGGAGAGGGAAGCATTTTACCACATTTTTGATACTTCCCGGATGCAAAATTATACGTTTTTTGCCACTGGATCAGGTCCCCCACTGTAACTTTATTGATAATATGTGTACCACTTTTCCAGCAGTTCTTTGAAGTTTTCTTTGCGTAATAATTCATACAGAACATACCTTGATCGGAATACTCAAAAGATTTTCTTTATTAAAAAAGATCGGAATTTGATTGTGTTTTTTTTGTAAATTTGAATCAAAAAAATTCCAGAAGAACAAACATGATGTTTTTATGCTTTCAGGATGATTAGAATTGCTAATAATAACAGGAAACATTCTCTGCAATTTAAACTTGAAATCATATGGGATGACGGGACAAGCATTGCATAAAAGGTTGGGAATATAATTGAGAGTTCAATCGTATCAACCATTGTCATCAATTGTAACCTGAACCCTTGGATTTGCCTTCAACTCGCGAAAAAATGAGGTTAGTGTGGTTCATTTTGGCCATAGCAGTCGTCTTGATTCAACTGACAAATGGTGAGTAATTTTAACCGACACAAAAGGCTTTGATGCGGTGCATTTTTCGTTGAATCATTCGTTATAGCTGATCTATTTTGGCGACCAAGGAAGAAGTACAGTTCGTTGAAATGGACCTGCGAAAAAGGGTCATTTAAAAATATATCTGACGTTATCAGGTATCGCTTTCTTAGAGGTGGATAAGGGAAGAAGACACTCGTTCAGCAGGACTTGTGAGACAATGAATCTGTATAATCACAAAAATATATGTATGTAGCCTTTAAAATGTTAAATAAATTTCTAACAAGCACAAAACGATGTTGGCATGGATTTGCATAGATTTGGTTTCTTGTATCACAAAAACAGGTAGGAACCCAAGGCCCTTGCTCATCTTGATCGTTGGGAATACAATTTTCTAGAAATCAACTTATTCAGAGTATACTAGGCGGGCCAAAAAGTCTTGACATGTCTGCACAGTGCGCCGTCGTGCATGCAATTTGTCGCGCGGCGACAAGAAAAATTTACGGTGCAATGCGACACCGCACAGTGCAAAAAACATTGTTTTGAAAAGGGTAAACAACGCACAGTGCGTTCTTCATTCGCACCCCGCCAAAGGTTTTATCGCGCGACACCTCGTCGCGACACCGAATTCATGCGCCCGCACGGTGCGAAAACATGTCAAGACTTTTTGGCCCGCCTAGTACTACAACATAGGTATATTGTAATCCGATACTCACTAGAATAGAAGAGTTTTGGCACAAAGTGTCGATAATGACACCCTCACCGTTGCGTGAAACAGTTGTCTGTTTATACGCTTCTCGTGGCCAACAACGTGGAATAATTTGAATGAAGTGTTACATTGTTCCTTACGAATCTCATCCCTCTTTTGCTAGAACACCGAAAATGGAAAGAGGGATGGTCCGTGTTCCTTTCGATCAGTTGGCCTTGCAAACTTTGGTAAGTGAATATTTTGTGATCGAAGGTTAAAAAATGGGCGTTGTCGAGATACAAGGCTTAGTTTGGTGCCGGGTAGGACGAGATTTACAACAGGACAAAGCCGCAACGCCCGTAGAAAATTTGAATTTTCTGGGTGATCTTGCAAAGATAAGTTTTAAGACGTTGTATCAGTCTGCTGTGAAAATATAATAGTAAGCACAATGTCGCTACGCCAACCGCGTCGCTGAAGTGAAAAGTAATTTGATTTTGTCGCGATACAGTTCATTTTCTCGACGGCGGTGCGATTTCCGATGCGACATTGTGCTCATTATTTTCCCGACAGACTGATATGCAATTTTATCCGTAATACTTTTAAGAAAGGCTTGGCGGTCTCAAAATTTCTGACATTTTAGTTCCCTGACTGACAATAAAACTTTCAGTTTTTTTCCAGAACAACGCCTTGTTTGCCACAAATTGCTACGCGTGTTGTTTTCAACTTCCTCTTCTAATCATTGGATTTATTCTGAAAGACTCGCATGCAGAATGGTTTTGGATACTCAACACTTGTCTTCAGCTGCCATTTTCGGTAAGACTCTCTTTATTATCTAAAAAAGATCTTCCCTTAATTAAGGCGACAGTTTTCTTCCTCAACGGTCTAATTATCACTGAATGTGCTCTGCGTTATGGCAAAACGCCAGAAGACATTCAAGCCCAAAAAGATGAGAGTCTCTGGGAGGAGATAAAAGATGTTATCGTTCATGATTTGTTGAAAGATCTAGAGAACTTCACTGATGTGGTGATGACAAAAGAGGAGTCTCTTCAATTGCGACCTGGCTTCATTGGGAAGCTCGCCATGAATGTGGCATTTTTATTATTCTTTGGCTTTTGGTTCGTCGAAGAGATTTGTCATCCATTCTCGGCTTATGGCTTTACCAAACCTCACCAAATCAATGATCAGTAAAGTGATTGGAGTGTAGGAGAGAGTTATCGTCTCTCCTATATTTTACTCTGTTTAGGTATTCTGTTTCTCCGAGCCTTATGCTTATAAATTCTGCAAATAACGAAGGTCTTCAGGAACGTTCAGATGTCGCAAAGAAAATCACCAAAATTTCGGTTTTTTCAACGTTTTTCCAAATTCCGGCAACTTTCCAAAATAATTTTTTGGCACATTTTTTTATAGCTCACTAGTACATATTAGAGCCAAATATGACACAGTTTTATTGACAACCACAAAAGTTACAGCGATTTTAAAAGTGCTTCATAATTTTTGTCGAGCACTGTATGAAAGCTGGCACAAGCTTTCCAAAAAGTTCTGCAGGGTGTTACCATCAAAACGTACCCTCTTTATTTGTAAAAGATTGATTTGCAAAAGTCGTTGTGAATTACTAATGCTTCTGCAAAGCGCAAGAAAAAATTTTCAAAAATGACTACAGAAAGAAATTTGAAGAAGTCATACGTATATAAGTCTGTTAGAAAAATAATGTGGATTCGTCACGCCTACGAATTTTTCATCATCGCCTTACGACTGCTAGCGGCAATTAGACACTTGGTGCGCGACGAGGCGAGGAGACATTTTACTGCGACAAATCCACATTAATTATCTCCCCGACAAACTGCTATGATATTTTTTGTTCTGTGACATAGCTAATTTTACACTGTCTGTTATAAAACTACAATATCTCTGCAGAGCCGTTTCAAGCTGTTTTTTACACTGCTTATATACCCTATAGCCTCTAAATTTACTTATAGTCCTTATTCCAAAAATACGAATTTTCTCGTCATTTTCAATAAAACAATACGATTGCTAATTGTTGACCCGCTTTTACGACATTTTTGCTCAGTGATTCTTTAGCATCACAGCGTGACTTTATTCTATACAAGCCCTTACAAAGTACTATTGCTGCTTATAAAGCCATAAAAACATCCGAAGCAACGCTCTGAATACGTAATCTGTTACTATTTAAAAAACTGAAAATATATTGGCGGTGTAACCGAGTTGATTACAGAGTGGATTTCAAGCTACCCACATAGAAAAAAGCGTGATTTGAATGTTATTTACATAATTTTTATTTTCAGAAATAACGAAGTTTTGATGCTAAATGTTGCAACTTTCCAGCAAATACCAAAATATTTTCGTGATCTTTGCAGGACATAAAATACCGTAGGCAAATTACGTGATCATTAACAAGTAACTTGCCATTTCTTCTTTTTTTATTGCATCCGGTTACGCGCAAAATGGAATTTTAAACAACCGTAGTTTATAAAGCAAAGATCACAAAGGAAAGACAATGATGTATTGTGCGTCACAAAAAATTATCATAATATAGTTTTTAAGTACATATGTAAATATAAAACAGGCAGTTCGAAAAGCTCAAAAACTAATGTTTTAAAAATATGCGATCCTTGAAGTGCAAGGATGACGTGCATTTTAAAAATTGAACATTACGAAGTTTTGTTAATCTCTTATAATACGTGTGAATGGGAAGATCAAATACCAGCGATGGTGCAATGAGGGCAGAGGATAGATCCTGATGTTGATCGGATTTTGGTCGAGAAGTCCTGAAGACTATAGTATTTAAAAAATACTTTTCAAAGTTTAACCCACAAGGTCTGCAAAAGCTGCAAGAAGTCTTGGCTGAGGCCAAGGTGCTAACTGAAAGTTTTCTGAAAGTTAGCTGAAAATGGTAGAGCGCAGCCCAGACAACAACGTTTCGCAGCTCGCCGGAGCTAAGTTTCAGCTTGTTTTCGAGCTGCGCCTAAGACGCGAGCTGCGCCCGTGCAAGTTTTCCGAGCTGCGCCCTATGATTTTCAGCCAACTTTCAGATGGCGCATTGGCTCCTGGCTCTGCCAAAGCGATAGCTAAACTTTTTTAAAAACAGTTATTGGCCTGTGCCCATACTCAGTGGACCAAATGGAATTTCTGAAAAATTACGGCAATAAATCATGACGACTACCAAAATAGATGCAGTGGAGCCTCTGTACAACAAACCCCATCTCATGAAATTTTAGAAAACTTTCGACGTGCAACGTGCTGTTCAATACGCTATGTATTAGGTCTAGAATTATGACTTTGTCGTTTTTTTATTTTGCGTTTTTCACAGGTTGAGATACGATTTCACAATTTTTGTTTAGAGCATCTGAAAGAACGCTGAAAACGCTGGCTACTGATATATGTCGCATATGGCAGGGCTTTGTATCACGACTTTTATAAAACTTCCAAGATGACCAACTTCGCCTTAAGAAAGTGTCGTTTGCGGGGAACTTTATTCTGCACGTGTAATGTGAGGGAAAACGCCGATGACACATCGAACGCTCATGATAGCTTGCGTTAATCGCGCTTTGTTTAAAAAATCAGTTGGGAATGGCTTCAACGGTTCAAAACCGGAGATTTCCAAACCCACCTAAAAAGTTGGTAGATGGAGAATATTGGTTAAAGCCAACGGCCGGGTGCAGTAAAAGTTAGCCGAAAAGCTGCACGTGACGCAGAAAGGAGTTTCATTCAGTTTACATCAAATGGGGATGATCCAAACAGAATGGACTTGAGTCTCATACGGATTGACCTAACGCAACATGGAGAACATGCGAAATTTTGACAGACAGACGGGGAGAAAGTCATTTTTGTATCATTTAGTGATCCGGGACGCACAATCAATCGATTTTGACAACCCGGAGCGCAAGCGACCGTGCTGTCTATCATTACCGAGGAGAAAGCTTTGCTCTGTATAATATGACATAAACAAGATGTTCTTTACTGAGAGCTCTTGAAAACCGGTAGAACGGTTGCTGGCATCCGTTATCAACAATAGCTGATGCAACTAAAGGAATAGCCATGATTAAAGCGGTCGGAAAGAAAAATTTTTATTTTGCTGCATGATGACGTCAAACCCCATGTTGAAAAACCGGTCAAAAACACCCTAGAACCGCCGGGGTGGGAGGTGTTCCCGCACCCGCTATGCTCTCCGGACGCCATACTTTCGGACTAACACTTGTTTCTATCGATGGCACCAGATCTGAGGCCGCAACGCTTCGCTGAATACAAAAATGTCAAAAATTGGCCCCTTGACTAAATCGCCTCAAAACAAAAAAACGTTTTCACTGATGGTGTTCAAAAGTTGGTTAAATTGTTGGAAAATGTCATAGTTAGTAGTGGTAATAGTACCTAAATAAGCTTTAGTGTAAAATTTTTTGTTTTGGTTTAAATTATGAGCCGCAAAAAACGACAAAGTCATACTTCTAAACCTAATACTATATTATGATAATTCTTCAATCAACACTCCCACATCGGGGTCGTCAAGCAGCCCACCCACACTTCTGAGAATCCGGTCTATTACAATACCAATCCTCGGTACATTCCGTCGATCCTTGTTCTTCGAATTTCGCAGCGCCTTCTCCTCCCCTTTTCCCATTGTCGACTCATCGCACGTCACCGGCGGACACTCTCGCCGCAACCCGCATCGGAAATTAGAAATTGGGCGGTTTAATTGCCATCCCACACTTTTACAACCTCCTCGTGCCGCAATTTTATTGAACTTTCGGCCAAAAAAGCAATTTGATTAGGTTGGCGAAAACACAGTCGGATTCAGGTCATGGACGGTTAGTATTCCGCTCAGCTTCCAGACCTGCCTTTATTTACTGCGCTGCGCTCGGCGGTTTCAATTACTTTTACTATTGACAACTGCCAGAGTCAGTAGTGCTGCGAGCCAGAGAGGATGATGCATGGTATACCAGTTTGTGTGTTCTTGACCGTCAGCGCCGTGATTGGAGGAGCGGTAAGTTAAGTGGTGATGAAGGGGTGACAAAGGGTGCTGTATACTTCATAGAGCACATTACGGTAACTTTGAGGACAAAAGCTTTGAACGAAAAAGCTAGCAGCTAGCCTGGAGACAGTTCTTACTGTCAGTTCAATATGAGAGGTACTTCAAGCGCCATCACCCGACTTTTTTTCGATTTTTGCGTGCCTTTTCTTAATAGTCCAATTACTTATGAAACCCTGAAGATTTTAGCTATTTTCCGCAATAGCAGCCGGAATAATTAATAGTCCTTTCTTGGCGAAAGATCATGTAAAACGAGCAGAGTCCGACAGAGAAAGAAAATCCGGTCTTAACTTTCAAAGTCTCCTATGAAACCTTGATTTTCTGTAAGATTCATTTTGCACCTCGCAGTAGATCACGCCTCTAGAAGAAATGTCCAAAAATCAATCCCGTATTTTACCCCGCTTTTTTCAGTTCGCCCTCCCAAGGAACCGAAATCTTCTGATCTCCCCATTCAAAGAGCAGTACTTTTCGACACTGGGAGATGTCGTCCTCACACCAATGGTCGATTTGCCAGAAGAGGCCAATGCGACGAATCAGGAATCAAACTCAATTGCCAGCAAATTCATCTATCAACAGGTCATGGCCGCAGTCAGAGACGCCGTGAGAGAAAGAGAGCGCGAGGGATTACCAGTAAGTTCAACAATGGGATCAGAGGGGACTAGATTAGAGTAAGAAACAGACAGTAAAGAAATTCAGTTACAGCCTATAACTTCTGCGTAGAAACAGCATCAAAACGTTCTAGGGGAAAGTCCTCAACTGCTGATGCCCGCAGAAAGGATTTTCTTGGCCATATAAGAGTGAAGAAATAAGATCGCACCGGTCGTTCCAAAGCAAAACGTTAAAAACGCTTTTCCTCACTTTTTTTTGAAAAAATTGAATGGAAAAACCTGAGAAAAAAAGGCCGACATGAGAAAAAAGGTCGAGAAAGCAAATCTAGCGTCTTTTTCAAAATCTGAAAATCCATATCTTTAGAATTTTTAGCAAAAAATCAAGCGAAAGAGAGAGAGGTGAGAGAAAAAGAGGGCTCTCTCTTGATTCTCTCTGCATTCGAAAATCATACTAGGCGGGCCAAAAAGTCTTGACATGTTTTCGCACCGTGCGGGCGCATGAATTCGGCGTTGCGACGAGGTGTCGCGCGATAAAAATTTGGCGGGGTGCGAATGAAGAACGCACTGTGCGTTGTTTACCCTTTTTCAAAATAATCTTTTTGCACTGTGCGGTGTCGCATTGCACCGTGAATTTTTCTTGTCATATTTCATGCACGACGGCGCACTGTGCAGACATGTCAAGACTTTTTGGCCCGCCTAGTAAAGATAAGGCCAAAAACATTGTTCTGTAATCGCCTCTCTTTCGATAGTCAGCAAAGATTGCTGAATACCTCGGCAGAGGCTGAAACTTTTAGTAATTGATATGTGGGCTATACAGGCTATGTGTGCAAGATTTCTAACAGATCTGAGCGTAAGAAAAACCACTTTGACATTTTTTAAAATCTAGGTGGTTCGACAAAAGTATATAACTTTTACAACTTAGCATTCTACTACTTGATTTGTATCGTTCTTAAAAATTTTTCTACTTTATAAGTATTCCCATTTCCAGGTCGAACAAGCCTTACCGATCTTCCCGAAGCCCGCCAAGAGACGCCAACGATACCAGCAGCACTTCGACGTGTTAGCCGGCGGTGGATTGGGTCGTTAATTCCAAACACAAATCACCGTTTCCAGAACGCCGTCATCCAAACTTTTGCACCAAAATAGTACCGCTGGTCCCATATTTGTAATCGTATTTGCCGCCTAACATTCACTTGTTTCACAATTTACCTTCCACCCCTCGCTGTAAATCTAGCCCGAAATTCCACGAATGGAAAAAAACCCAAAAATGCATGACAATAATTTGCCTGTAACGTCGCTACGAAAGAAAACAGATACTTGTTATTCCAGAGTCCATTAAAGTAAATTTACAGTTGGAAATTCGGCAAGGGCCTATGATGGCGAATGCAACCAGAAATTGAGATTTTCAAGTTTTGGAAAACTTGAAAAAATCAAAATATTATTGAAGAAATATGTGTATTTAAACACGTGCAAATGGCTAGAGACCATAAATTTTGGTAATCTTGACACTCTAAAATAAAGTTCATGCTCGAGTATGTTCGAAAGTTCGGAATATTTTTTGAACTTTGATGTGCGGAAAGCCAGTAAACCTTACGAATTTTGAACTAATATGTACTTCTAAACACCACAAATTTTATTTTTGTAATTGATATGTAAAATCAATATTTGAAAGCAAATTTTTTTTTTAATTGTCATAATTTTCAAATTTCCGCCAAATCAAACAAAATAACCCATCCTGGCCCAAAAACCGTAATCCAACCCTCCATACTTCAAGATCATGATTAAATTTATTAACGTTCAAGTTCAGTATCAAATTTTTACAACTTATGCGGGGTGACAACAAAAAAAAATGATGAGAAAATACAATATATACATAACATTGGAAGAGCTGGTTACAAAACAAAAGTCATAGCTGTGTGTATGAGAATTTGAAATTAATAAATAAGGTAGTTTAGAGACCAAGTCTAACAAAATTTGAAAAATCGCCTAGTACAATGTAATCGGCCAAAAATTTCGGGCGTTTTGGTCGAATTGTGGATTGCAGCTGCCTTCACTCGTACGAATTATAACTTCAGCTGTCTTTTTCTTCCTTTTCCTTCAGTTCTTCTTTATTTTCATCCTTGCCTTCTTCCGCTTCGGCACTTTTTTCCTTTTGTTTCCTCATTTCGGCAGCCAAAATTCGCAACTCATCGAACGACATGTTCGGCAATCGATCTGCTGAGGGTTTCTGATTCTCCGTTTCCACATTCAGACTCTTATTTGAGGCCGACTTTTCGATACTAACGTCTTTTTTCTGGGTTGATTGTGGTTCGGGGGTCAATCTTCGAGAGTCATCCAGGTTCGCATGGGAAGTGTGAAGAGATCGGCCGGGAACAAATTCTGGAGCATCTTGGAATCTGGACATAATTGAAGTCGCGTTGAATCGAGCCGACAATTGGTTGATTTCGATCGGTTTTTGGGTTGAAATCGGGCCAATAATCATGTTCTTGTCACGGCAAGGGAACAGATCTGAAAGCAATGTTTTTATTGACAATTTTTATCATTATGACTTTTTGATTAGAAAGGGCGAAATTTTTTGTTTTAGCGGGGTTTTACAAAAATCAAAAATCTGCAACAATTGCAACTTTTCAGAGAGAAATTTCTTCGCTTTCCTACTAACATTTTTCTTTTATTTTTGACTAAAAATCACAAACTTATACAACCTTTGCTCTTCATTTTCATTATGCCATGTTCTCCGACCCTTAATGCCCCTATGAACCCGAATATTTGCCATCCCCCGCTTCTCTGTCCATCAACATACTATAAAATAATATCCTCTGTCTTCAACCTTCTATTATTTCATACGAACATCGCCCTTGAATCTCGCCAAACTTCGTAAGAACTTAAATCTCTGGCTATTTGTAAATTATGTCCACAAACTGCCCGAGGCGTCCTTGAATAAACAAAAGCCGTTCAGTCGTCCAACTATCGTGCCATCTTTTGGGATGGTGTTAAAAAGGGTGAAGTTCACAGTAATTTCGAAAAGGGCTCTTCATAAGAGGGACTGCAGGATAATCGCCTTGGCATTTTTTTAGAATTTTCCGGGTTTGGCTGGTGGATAAGTTCCTAAACAAAGCGTTTTATGTTTCCAACAATGATGTGGAGTAGTGAAGTTAATCTATGGAGATCTTTTATAAACAATTTGGCGTTCTGTCATAGTTTTTTCAACTAATTGTATGCAGTTTGTTATAAAATAGAGCTACAGTATTTCCAAGCGTTTTTTGGGGAATTTAGAGTAGTGACCCAAGTACGAAGCCCAGATCTTGAAACTTGAAAATAACATTGTAAATTTTGATTCAAATTTTTGATGAATGGAGCTAACTTCACCCCATTAAATTTTAAGAAAAGCTGAATCACAACTCGATAATTTTTAATACTAATCCTATTTTTACAGTATCAGATATTTCAGCATGTGACAAAAGACTTCAGTTTTTGCTCGTTTACATAACCCACTTTACTCTGGATAATTGTCAATTATGCCTTGTTCACCAAGGCCTATTAGATTAAGATTTTCTGCACCTGAAATGTCATAAATATTTCCAAATATTTACTTCTTTGCCGAAATCATTTCCCAAAACAATGTCCAAGTAAGTGCATTTGGAGCTGTGTCGGTAAACAAGGCGTTTTGCAAGAATTTATAATACGGCATGACGTTCTTACTGGTACAACAAACTCGAGCATTTAACCCAACAAAAACACTAACAGTGGGGGACCTGATCCAGTGGCAAAAAACGTACCATTTTGCATCCAGGAAGTATCAAAAAATATAGCAAAATACCTCCCTCTCCAAGAGAAAAAACTCCGATTTCAAAAGCCCGCTCTTTTTGTAGGGAAAAAAGGCGCGCCTTTCAAACCGGAGTTTTTTTAGTTGGAGAGGGAGGCATTTTGCCATATTTTTGTTACTTCCCGGATGTAAAATGGTAAGTTTTTTGCCACTGGATCAGGCCCTTCACTGTAATTAGTGGAACAGTTACCCTCTAAACTAACGGAATTTACCTTCGTCATGCCACTAGAATGTTATGCCCTTGAGGCAACTTACTGCCCTTTTAATTCCTATAGTTTCCATCATACGTTCTTATTTAGTCCTTTTACGACAATCGGTTCTGCCTCGTCTTCGTACTCAAACATTTATTTCCCCGGTCTTTGCGTTGTAATCCCTTGCAAAGTGACAACCACACTTTGTTTTATTGGTCGTTCCGCCTACTATTTGTCGCCTATTTTGACTTCATTTTTGGCATTGCTTCAACTACCATATGCTTTCTTTTTCCAGCATCATTTTCCTTCGACCTTATTGAGTCTCTAACCTCTAAATTTAGAGAAACTTTGTTTGTTATTCGTACAGTTGAGACGTCTGAACCTCTGAATAGGAGACGCTTGCAAATATTACATCGTTTTTAATAACTAAACTGCGCGTTCTTTTCTTTCCGTCGAGTTGAGGATCTTGTGTCAGCCTCTTACGTGTAAATCCGCCTTCGCTATTTTAAAAGGCTTAATCTGGTAAAATCCTGGGTGAGATTAGAAACAAGGAAGTTGTAAACTTTTTAATTCATCCAGAATCAGGTGGCTTTTATTTTTGACCCTGATAAATTACCCCTAAAAACGCTCTACCGGCTATATCTTGCCCATCGGCTTGTTATAGTCGACAAAAAGGTCATATGTGAAGTCAAAGAGACTTAGAATTTGATATAAAAAGGTTTCACAGAGGCGCAAAAAACCGTTGATTTTGGAATAGAGAAGCTCATCGATAAGCTATCATCTTTTCTCATAAAAATCAACATCTTTTTTACGCTTCTGTGATATCTTTTAACATCAAATTTGAGGCCACCTCAATATCTCCATCTACTTTTTTGTTCGCTTGAACTTTTAATAATTTCAAAGGCTTTCACAAATTACCTTTCGGGCTAGCTAGTCCATCAATTTTATTAGCAAAATGACTCCAAAAATGCCACTTTTACCATCCAAACCATATTGTAATTTCCATCCCTAATTCTGTAGTTTCTACAGGGTGGGGCATCTTTGTGGCCCGATTTGAATTGACTATAACTTCTTTAGTTTTTGGCCAAATTTTAAAATTCTTTTTTTCCCTGAATCGTCAGCCAACTCCATTTTGTTTGATACCAAATATGTTATACATAGTAAGTGTATGTCTACAGTTATTGGATTTATTCTTAGAGTTCATTTTTTCGGTCGTTTTTCGGTTGTTTTTTCGGTCTTTCCCGGTGTGTCCGAAAATGGAGTCCGGTGTGGAAGAAAAGGCTTGGTCTGTGGTTTGGTATAGCAAGTACGTTTGCTATATCGCAAACGCAAATTTTCAAACGGGGATACCGCATAAAATACGGACGTAATGCCTAACCTCCAGATCGCAAGACAATTCGACGTTCGTGGAATAAGTTTCTTGAGACTGGCAGCGTTAACAGGAAACAAAAAAAGCAGGATAGATGAGTACGAACGGAGCTGAAAATTTAAGAAGTTTTGTCAAAATTCCGAGAAAATCCGCATATGAGTACACGAAGTTTGGCCAGAACCGAGGGAATGCCTTCAGCAAGGACCATTCGACGAACTCTGGAGGTTGATCTTCACTTTTTGTTCTTATTCTCATCGTCGATTTTCGGGAGGGTAAATTCCGCCGTATTTTCTTCCGCACCGTACTCCATTTCTGGACACACCGGGAAAGACCGAAAAAACAACCGAAAAACGACCGAAAAAATGAACTCCAAGAATAAATCCAATAACTGTAGATATACACTTACTATGTATAGCATATTTGGTATCAAACAAAATGGGGTTGGCTGACGATTCAGGGAAAAAAAGAATTTAAAAATTTGGCCAAAAACTAAAGAAGTTATAGTCAATTCAAATCGGGCCACAAAGATGCCCCACCCTGTACTTATCCCATTTCCCCTTTCACGCAACAGCAAATTCATCAATCTGAAGCAACTTTATGCTCATCTTCCGCTTCCCGGCTGATACTATTTTCAGAGAATTTGAATTCCACGAAATCGCTGCAAGAGCCTTTTAACTATGTTTTGGCGAGTTTGGGTCCTCTCCGTAAACCCTTGACCTATCCTTTCTCTGGTCCATTTTGAGTGTGTTGTTCGCAGATGCGGCCTTAATTTAATAACGTTTAAGGGGGAAACGGGAATTTCCGCGTGCAATGGCCTGCAATTTCTCTCATTCAAAACAGGAAAATCTGGCGCTTGTTAATCAAGCCAATCAACGAAAATGGGGGTGACAAAAACGTCCTTTTACACGGTATTAGTAGCGTCATCACGATTGCTAGAATCTGGGATACACTAGACAGTCTTTACAAACTTCTTGTTGAAAAAATCTCACTTGTGGAACTTCTTCGCGAAAATTTCACAGTCCAATTACGTTCCAAAGGGCGCCAAGTTCGCTCAAAACTTCCTACTCTGTGTTGTGCCCTCTGCACTTTTATTTTCGCATAAAATTTCTATCAATAGATGGTTTGAATTACCAAACCTGCTTCCTGCCGCTCCCCAATCAAACCAGCGTTATGTTTCATTCTTTGCCCACGCCTTATAGTTCGCGATTTTAAATTTTTTTCAAATTTTTTGAATTCAAGACCACACCCATGCAGGTTGAAGCCAATTCTTTTAGGTGATGTCTTGAAGCTCCCTTTGCTTTTCGAAGATGTTTTATCTAATCTCAAACAATCCATTCCGCCGTTTGCTCATGTTCGTCCCAAAACATTTATCGGATTCAATCTTGGGCGTGCTTATTTGATTGCCCTATGGCCATATGCGTTTTAATACCGTCAAAAAACTTTTTTTTTCTTGTCTCACGTTTCGAACTCCTTGCAAATTCCTTTGGGGTCGGAAAAAAACGCCTTTTCCAGGGAGTCAAAACACTTTCCAAGTGTCAGAAAGTGTCTCCGAAGAGGCGGGAACGGTTTCGAACGATGGGGGGGAACGGTGGTTCGGGCATTAATTTTCAATGCTCTTTTTTCGAATTCCCGTGTTTTGCGGGGAAATCGAACTCGATTAGCTAGAATATTTGAATTCCATCCATCTTCGGGGCGATACTTTTATCTCTGACATCAAATTTTTAAATTGCTTTAGGAAATGTTTTCTCAATTTCCAAAATTAAAAGTAACTTGCACGCTTGAACTCCTATAAATGTAAATGTTGCTATTAATGTCAGAAATGTTGTTATTCACCTGCCAATTCAACAATTTTCACCTCAATTTTTCGATTATCAATAGCATCTGTACACCCACATATAAATGTGGGGCACCGGATGTAAACATATGCCCAAAATTAAAGTTGAGTTCCCGTAATATCCTTTCCAAAAAACATTTTTTTGCAATATTTTTAGCCCATTCCTTACCTTGTTCTTTATCCTCGATATTGGTAATAGTCTGTAGAACCCTCGGTTTCTCTCGTTTTTTGATTACTGGATCCTCTTCATCATCAAATTGCCACACATTGAAACCAGCGACTAGTGTTTGTGCGTACGGGGACTTGATGTACCCCATGGCTTGCGCTTTTTCAGTGTCAAAGTCAAGCGCCGTTTTTCTGAAACAACAAAAGTCCATTTTTTGAAACGAAGCTTCTTTAAATTTTATGGCATCCTTCTCTCAAAGTTAACCCGCTAATAACCTAATCATCAAGTTTTTCTCTGCAAAAACCAAACTGTTCTTTGCGCAAGTCCCAAAATTTTTTAAAGAGAGATCGTTTTTTTGCAGGCATGGCCTATTATTACTTGTCTTGAGGCCGTTCACGCCGTTTAAGGAGCAGTGTCATAGGGGTGGCGATGCCAACTTCCGGTTCCGCTGACTAATCAACAGCCCACCACAATGTTCTAGTATTAAAAGTGTTCTTGTTCGGTTGGCCGCAGCCATGACAATTCTGGGAATAGTGCTAATAATACTGTTTCGAGTTTGAGCAGTCATTTTTGTTGCTTGAATATCCTCGTCATGACTTTATTGTTGGGTCTGTTATCATTCTTGACTAACAAATCAAGTTTTTATTAGCCAATAGCCTAATAAATAATTTCTTGGCAAACATTGTCATCATTATCTTTGATTAATCTCTAATTCGATCTGAACTCTTCGAGTAAGACCACAATTTTTAATGCTCTCGAAATCGCTAATCAAAAATCTATTTATAATCCTCCGTAGCATAAACTTTATTCCCCGCAAAAAGTCGGTATCACATAATACCACGGGCTATTTTCATTTTATCAAACCAATGTTTTCTAACAGTCGCAAATCTCATGGATATTCATGAACTTTATTTTCGAAATTTTGAGTAAACAAGGCGTCAAGTCTCAAATTTTCGTGAAAAAAACGTTCAGCTCCTAGATTTCGAAATTAAATTAAAGTTACTTCTTGTTTGGCTAAGATTACTTAGTTTCCTCGTTGCCAAAATAGCCGACACAACGTTGTTTACATTCACGGAACTTTTTGCGAAATTTCCGCAAAGTTGGAGCTCGTATCGAGCCGTGGGATCTTTGTGCGTGGAATAACTTTTTTTAGGAGAAACATCCTTGCTTGGTCACTTGGACATGCGCGGGCAGAATTTTTAATTTTCAACTGACCCATTCATAATTCGCATCAAAATAGAGTTGAGCGATGTTCTCCTTGTTTTCTAATTTTTTTACCGTGTAACGCGAAAAAATTTGAAAAATGTTTTGCTGCCATTTTTGGAGGGTTACTGACAACCCAATTACTATTCACCATGTTTGTGTGAAACTTGACATCTAGCGAAAACATGGGCACAAGGTTGTTTCCGATTTCCTAATTGCAATTACTGAACTTGCCCGGTCCACAGTAATAACGCTAAAAATAATACTTTTTTTCAACCAGTGCCTGATTTAATCCTTACACTACAGCTTTAATACCAGAACAATCGCATGAACCTGTCAGTACAGCGCTTCTCCCTGAATTTGTGCACTTCCTGTCTGACATTATCAGCCTCGGGTCTGGCGCGGTCTAATCAAAAGACATGCGCTTTGGGGGTAGATAATTAGCCATGCCCGGAAGACATAAGCAATTCCGGAAGCCATGAAGCTCGACGTCGAAAGTTTTGCCCATATTCTTCGCGAGTTTCGTCGAAGTTTGAAGGTACAAAGTACTTTGCAAACATCATCCCCTCCCGCAACGCATATCGCTGTTTCAGTTAGGGCCTCCCACTTGTTATTGTTGTTCTGCCCCGAAATTACTGTAATTCTGTTACCCTTTTTTTGGTGGCTGCTGCATCTACGATCTTTCATCGCGAGTGAAACAATACGCTCGGTTGACTAACTCGGCCATAATCGAGCATTCGTTTCGAAAATTTTCATCTAGCAAATTACCAGATCCAAAACACCCTTAGGGGCTATGGTCCCACTAAAGAAAGATTTCCAAAGGAGACGCCGGTTTCCTACATTCCAATCTCAGACATTCATCTACTGGTTTTAGGTCTAATTAGAACAGCCTGAAACACCTACATACGACAAACAAGTCATGTTTATCGCAATCAAAGTTCACGTCGTACGCCAACCCAATTTGCCTTGTTAGGAATTTGGAGTTTTTGTGCGGCTGCCGCAAGCGGCATTACGGTCAATTTAACTTAATAACCTCGCGAGTACGCGTGATATTTCCGACTGGCACAGCACAACTTTCGCCATTCCTCATTATCCGGGACTTTTCTCCCATTTTCGGTGAAGTTACAATTATTTCTCCACCAAAAAAGTGTGCATGTCATTATTATTGACAGAACCACCTTCTCGGGTGTTTTCACGTACGCATTCTCAGAATATTAGACTTACAGCTCCACCCCCAACTTCTACAACTCTTTTTTTTTATTTACTTCCTTTTTCTTGGGCGTCACAACGTCAACCAAGAATTTTTTCGGAGGGCCGGTTCAAAGGTCCACAGGCTATTCTTAATCGGGCCCGGCAATTTCTGGGCCGGGTTAAAAATTCCGAAGTGGCCTTTAATTCGATACATTATGCGGGGCAATTTGGGGGATAGTAGTGGTCTGCACAATTAAGTTTTCATTCGTACTCGGGCTATTTTCCGGCCCCTTTGACCTCGAATGTTATATCGAAGATGGGTTTGGATGACGTTGAGCGGATTCAATTTGGACAGTCGTCCAATCGAACAATAGTTTGGAAATTTTCCATCCCAATACTTTTACAATATCAGGAAGAAATTTCCTATCCTTTTAAAATCTTGATCTAATCCAATTTTTTTACATTACCATATACAACATTGAAATTTACTCTCGATTACGTGTTCTATTACCAAGTCAACACGAATTTCGTTTGCAAAGCACCTGTAATTTCAGATACATGCAAAATGTCCGTGGACGTCGTCTTGATGGTTTACATTTTCCCAGTTTTATTTGTGATTGGAGTCGTTGGAAATGCGATCAACCTTCTCGTTCTGTTAGACAAGTGAGTTCAAGCCGAAAATAATCTATTCAAACAAATACTAACCTTGGTGTCATCCTGTGTATTATTGCAAAAAACAATTTCAGGAGGATGCGATCAAAGACCAATACATTGTTGTCAGTGATGGCTTTGGCGGATATCTTTTTTCTGGTCTTTATGATGGTGCATTCTCTAATGTATCATAACGACTTGATGGCTGCTTATGCCAGCCTGAGGCGTTTCTTTGTTTACGCCGCGCCGCACATCTCGGGCATCATAAACATGCTGTCCTTTATTAGCGCGTGGTGAGTTATTTGTTTGCTATTTTTTCTTATATCATATTAGAGGAGTCCTTTTCCCGGAAAAAATATCCACCACGATATATTCAGAGATCAGACGGCACTCAAACAGACCAGTAAAGGTTCAGAGATCTTTTTACTCCCATTTCAGTTTGTGATGAAAAAATGAAACATTTTGTCGTGGTTGCGCCAACTCAACGACGGCAAAATGTTTCATTTTTTCACACAAACTGAAGTAGACTAATTATTACTTATCAAATACAACAATCGGTCTTTTCAGGACAATTGTTCTTGTCAGTGTGGAGCGAATGACCGCAGTCATGTTTCCACTGCGAGCTAGGTCATTTTGGACCTATCACACGCTCAAAATCCTCGTCACAGTTCTCGTGACCACTTCGTTTCTTATCACCATGCACTCTCATATCACACACCAAGTCACTGTGATCCACAAGAACATTACTCTGCCCTCTCCTGAAGACAGTACGCCAACCATTGTTCAACGAAAGGTCCTGCGTTCAATGCTGCGGACTGGAATGGAGTCCTACTGGAGGATTTCAACCATTGCCACTGCAGTTTTCATTGTGTTTCTGCCAGTAATCATCGTTATTATCACCAATTCGTTGGTGTTCTGTGCCCTTCGTGCTCAGAACGATTCAATTTTGGCTACAAGTAGCTATCAAAAAGTGAGATCAAAGAGGAGCGAGGATTCCATGAACAGTGTGAGTTCTATGGATCGGCACGGATCTTTATCGAGGAAGCCTTCCCGCAATACTTATTGCACCAACACTACAAGCACTCCAGTCAACGGAACAATAAATGACAGTGCTCCCAGTCCGATCACCAACAATAACCGACACTATTCGATGCCAGAGAGTGCTCGATATCAAAATCAACCCGACAGGAAAATCCACGACAACATAAATTCGACAAAATCAAATCCAGAGAGATCAATGTCCTGCCTTCCTACTGACGACAAAACCCACTATTCAACGATTCATTTTCCCACTCAAATCCCACAAGGAGAATATCAGCCAATCCTGGAGCAGAAGGAGAGAAAAATCGAGCACAAATCATCGACCGGGACCTCGAACACTCGGAATCAACGGAGAGCAACTCTAATCGTCTTTATTATCGCTTGCACTTTCACTATTTCGCAGACACCGTCAGCGTTGGTTCACATTGGAGAAATTTGCTGGCCCTGGATTGGGATGAATCCGGCGTTCAAAACTGCCGCAACTTTATCGAATTCGCTCGTGGCTGCTGGCAAGACCATGAATTTGTTCTTGTTCTGCATGTGGAGTGCGCATTTTAGGAGGAATTTGAAGGTAAGGGGGCTTACAAAATTATTCATGACACCTATTTCCAAATTTTTAATTTTTTATATTACACTAGACCAAAAATTCTAAAAATATCCAAAAATACCTTCTAAACATAATCTTTTTCAGCGGATTCTGTCTTCCAAGTTGCCGACGCTCTATGCTTTCATTCAAAAGCTAACTCAAGTCTCAAAAGTTGTTGGACAATTCCCTTCGAAGAAAAAAGAAAAGCCGAAATTCGACCAGAAACAAATCATCACCGTTCACCCGCCGCAAGCGATGAAACGTTTTTCAACGCCCATATTGGAGAAGTCGAAACAACAAAACGAGGAGTGTCAGGCCATCACGCAGAATCAAGGCTTCGTTTAGACTTTTAAAAATAAATGTAAAAAAAACTAACTAGTGGTTAGAATAAAGGCTAAATTACCCAAAAAAAATTTCCTTCTGATCAAAGAGTACTATAAAAATCAAAAAACCGGACTTACAAAAATCTCCGCCTCATGAGGACATCTGGCCATCGATCGGAGCAATAGTCCATACCTGGGCAATACCGTAAGGGAAATGTTGCCAGAGGGGTTGGGGCATCATATGGGATTGGAATGTCTTTTTCGTCCTGAAAATCCGTCAATATAAAGAAAAAAAGTCATCACTTTTTCCTAGTGCAATATAACAATTTTGCAAAAATTTCGTTTTTTCCAGTCAGTTGCCACAAAAAAAGAATATAAACTACGAACCGCGTATTTTATCACCAAAAATATCTTCTGTCAAAACATCACCTATTATTGGGCACAAAAAATTCAAAAACTTACTTCGGCCGGGAAGATCGGGTCAATATCACAGATCGAAAATGGTGGATCCTCATCTTCCGTCCAGAACAATTGCACCATTGGTGGGCCTAAAATTCAAAACCCAATCAAAAAATCTAAATTCACAACTAAAATACCAAAACAAAAAACTTACACTCCCCCATTCCCACGGCAATTGCTTGATGAGAATCCGAGGCGCACAGATGGGAAGCTGGAACCGGTAAGCTGCCAAGGCCGGTGAGTTTGTTCTCTAATATGTCCACGAGGAATAGCATGGGCTGAAAAAGGCAAAATGTAAAAAAATTGCAAACAAATTTTGAAAACGTCTAAAATAAGGTAAAATACAAAGAAAATCTCATCAAGTTGCTTTCCAACACACCTTAGGAAATGAACTCTCTTCTCATTAATCCTAAAAGCCAAGTTCAACGAAAATAATTCACTCACCCCAGAAGTTACAACAACTTTTTCCTCGTTAAGTGAATCAATGCCAACGAATTTACAGACGGTTGGATGTCGATTGAATGGGATCGGAATTTGAGGGTTTAAGTTTCGAACATCGTATACTTTGAGGAAATTATCGAAGACTAGCGTTCTAAAAATAAAAAAAATCATTTTGAAAAAAAAATTATATTACACATGAGGAATATTTTAAAAACAGGCATGGAACTACTGGATAGCGTATTTTACTATTCAAACAGTCTTTTTCGATCTGAATTTTACAAAAATCTTACCCGTTACTCTTCTTTGACATTCCACAGCACACCAGATACGTGGCATGGACATCAAAATCGACCACTTTGCCCAAATGAGCCTGCGTTTGGGCTATTAAATTGTAGTTCATCAAATCTTTGGAGCGAACTGTTAACTGAAAATCAACGTTAAGACTTTCCAGTGTCGAAAACGGCAGAAGAACAGGAATTTTTATATTATCCTGATACCTAAAATCAAAACCAAAAAAATTCAAAAATCGTACCTTTCCATCCTCACTGGCGGATACCAAATACCTCTCTGTGGTCCTAATAATGCTCGCGGAACCTTCTTTGATTGGAATTACATTTCTCTCCGAGCGAATTTCAATATCATATACAACAATTGTGTCTTGAGAGCCTCCAAGGAACAACAAATTAGTGTAGGGATCCCAATGAGCGCAAGATAAGTCGGTTAGGAGGTCGGATCTAAAATAAAACACTTATTTTACGATAAAAAAGTGCGATTTTATCTAGTACAATATAAAAAAATAATCCAAAAATGTCAATTTCCGGAACATTAAAATTCGGAAATTGTGTTTAGGCAGCGTTTTGGGACAATATTTCACTTGCGCATCCAGTATAACACATTAAAAATCAAAATTTGGTCTACTACAATATCACCTCTTACCGATAAAAATACTCGGGAACTCCTCCTCGACTAAACGCCGCAATCGTGCACTTCCCAATCACAATCACATGGTCCGAAGTGGGGACTATGGAATGCGCTTCCGTGTCGTTCTTATCCAACGGCCAGAAAAACCGACTGTAAACTTGGAGAACAACCCGATAATAGGATAACACATGACCCTGAAATTGTAAAATATGCAAGGAATACCAAAAATAGTTAAAAAAAGGTCAAAGAAAAATAAATCCTTACACTTTTGTCAACAACCCATAGTAGATTCTCCCTGTGGTCGAAGCTCATACACGCCATCTCCGTGAAACCCATAGGAACTGCCATATTCGAGTAGCCAAAGTCGGCTTGGACATCCCCATAGTCGTTATACTAAAAATAGGATATGACTATTTAATTTATAAGTCATTCCGACCATAACCCTAGTAAAAAGACCATTTTTCAGATCAATCACTTTGGTTTAGGTGTTGATGAACAAAATACGATTCAAAAACAGATAACCAACATTTTTTTTGACGCAGAAACCTTTAAAGATCGTTTCTATGCCTCATAACCTTTCTAATGATACCAAATTCCAATTCCGAGCATTGATCTAAACCAAGAAAAACAAAAATAAAAACTTACCCCATCGTCCATAACGCTCGTATCGGCACCATTCATAATCTGTGCCATTTCTAAGGGAGAATATCTGCAAACCAAAATAATATAAAAAAATCACATTAAAACAACAATAAATGACGCGAAGAGCCTCGTAATTTACCCGAACACCTTATCCATGAGATCTCTTCAAGATAACACAGAAAAAACATAAATTCAATTCGGAAAAGGAGCAAGACAGTTGGAAAAATTATTATCAAGGTCAACTAACAGGTAAACAGCTTCGAAATTGAGAGGAATTGACTTTTTAGGCATGAACAATATCATGAAGATACGGTTTGAAAAGAACTCCTCTGAAAACGGGCATAGCATAAAAAAGAGTGTATAATTACGAGTCTCAAGCCACAATAATGCTATTCTACAGCTGAACAGACAAAAATAAAGGCATTTTTAACAGTAAAACATCGAAAACCCCTCAAATTTTCCAATATTACCCTTTAATTTTGATCTCCACATCCCAAACTGACACTTCTCTTCCTTTTTACAGCCCAAAGGAAACAAAATTGGTAAACACAGTGTAAAGGAGTGTTTCATTTCTTTGTTTTTTTACCACTTCTTCCATTTCTCGCGGCTCGGACAAAAAATGGCAACAAATACCGGGCGCGGCTCGCGGAAAACTATTTTATACGATGAAAGTTTTTGCGAGGTGCAAAATTAAAGTTGGAAAGAGGGTAAAATACGGGTGATGTGATGATATGACATACTAAAATGGATTATAAATACAACCATAATTTCAAAGAAAAAATTTGAGACGCGAAATCAAACAGTATAGTTTTGGTATCCATGGAGATGAAGAAATGCGAATTTCTTTGTTTTTCCAGGCATTAAAGCGGATAATTTTCGGGGCTTTCTAAAATACGGTTAATTTACTTCTTGGATTTGCCTTACTTTCTAATTTTTAATAAGAAAAAAATTCTTTATCTTACCTGTCCAGTACAATATCAGCAATATTGACCATGGCTTTCTAGGTGCCGTGGGTCAACTTGGCATCGCTTGACTATATATCTTTAGCCTAGAAATGGCAAAATTTTAATCCTGAACTGATCAATTTTATAAGCTACCAGCCCAACATAGAAATTTTAACTTCATTTTAACCTATTATTACTTTATTTAATCAACCCAACAAGTAGCTTGAACTTTTTAATATTTTTGTCTCGTCTGAGAGTACAATTTCCGTGCCATTCTGTACCAGCAACTATTATTTTTTTTTACAAATTTTTCACCTGATCATCTCCGAAGGTCATCTAAAATAATATTCTTCCCAAACCTTTTGTCCCCCATGCCCAACCTTCCTTCCCCAGCCAGCTGAAACTTTGCTCAGCCAACCTTCGCCGGACTGAGTTGTTATTTTGCACTTGGTCTGACTGTCATGCATATTTCACTCCCGTTTTTTGTCCCATTGTCAGCGAAAAGAAGCGAGAGGCGCGAACGGCAGAGACTGGATGTTTTCCGCTTAGCGGACTGACTGATACGTTGTGGGTGGTCGTTGGAGGCGCCCGCACACATGCAGCGAAAAAGATGACAATTTTTGAAAATCGGGGACCCCGAAAAAAGCGGCGGATGGCTATTCCGGTGGGGGCGGGGTAAGGATTTACCGAAAAAATAAGTCTCAAGGAGGAGCTATTAGATTAGATTTTTTGGATAAACTTGTTTACTACTTTGGTCTATCGGACGGATCATTGAAGGGGATAAACCGTGTGCAAATACTGGAAAATATATTGTGACACGGCAAAAAAAAACCTTCTTTCCGACATCAATACTGTACAAAAAAGCTATAAAAAACTTTAAAGGGCAAGCCTATGAAAACATTCATTGCGAATTGATAACTTTAGACGGATTTTTTTGGTTTTTTTTTAAAAAAAATTGAAAAAACAACGAGGAAATGAAGTTTAGTCAGCAAAAAAAATCACAGGTTACGGTAAACAAAAAGATTGATGGGTGATAAGCGGCGATTAAAAATACAACTAGAACGCCATGCAAACAAACATGGGGTCTGTGAGGAAGTGAATGATGGGAATGTATGGTGTGCTCTTCGGGAATGAGGAAGCACATGAGTAAATGGTGTAGGAAAACACGGAAAAGTGGTGGTGGTAAATGGGTAATCGAGTTTGGATTGTAGAAAATGTAGAAATGCAAAATGGGTTTTACTAAAAAACTTTTGGAAAGGATAGTAAATATTGCAGAGAAAACTTCTCTATAACAAACTTTTGTACACTACGTAAAACAAAGCTTTTTTTAAGAACGAATAAATATGGGATTCGGTATTTTCTTTGTTATTTTAAAATCATCCAAAATTTGAGCAAATGATAGCTTCATACTCAAAAATTTTGACGATGTATCATATAAGAGTGAAAAAAAGGCGAAAAAAAAGTAAACTCGGAATTCACTCCAAAAATGGAAATTTTGAAAGCTATTTCGATTCCTACTCGCCGACCCATAAAATTTCTCGATTTTTACTCTCTTTTTCAAAAAAAAGTGAATTCGAAAAATTTTCAAAATTTTCCTGCGAAATCTTCTGTCTTCACTCTTATATTTTGCACAACCCAAAATAAATGGACCTCCATCTAATGAATCCGTAGACAATTTCTCGTTCATTTAATTTTCCAATAGCCCACCTCCATTTATTCACGGCAAACTATACGAATTTCAATTTTCGGTGATTAAAACAAACTCGGTGGTCAGAAAAAGGCGGGCTCATGTTCAATGCATTGGTAATCAGAGCCTGGAGTTGCAGCTGTAAGCGGCTTGCACTATTATCGCCAAGGAAATTTGGGAGTATACTCGTAGAATCCTGGGAAGATTTTTTGAGAACCCGGCGTTTGTTGACGGACAGTTTGGGTGGTCATTGCATAGATAGACATTAGTTAAAGCCTTGGGATTAGAAGAGAAGATTTTTGCATGCGTTTTCTAAACAAGCTGCAGATCAATCTCTGAAAGCGTAAATTCGCGCGTTCCGGTGGCAGCCAAAAGACAGAGCGCAGGAATTGCGGAGAGTCGGCCAGACAAAAAACGGTCCCTGTCGATAATATTTTCAGTCTTGCACAGCAAATACTAATTTTTGTGGAAATGATAAACGTCTCACTAGTCATTGATCCTGAAATTTGTGCAGCCTTGGACATACAATCAAAAATCTCGGCGGTTTGTGAAAAACGTGAGCTAAGAATTAAGCCGATGTCTTTGGAGCTCATGTTCTATGTATTCTTAAGACGACTTTCATCATATTCTATGTTCATCACCTCAAACACTTCCCTAGCTAGAGAATGCTTGTCTAAATTTACCCCAAATTTCACCGACAGTTCATTACAACTCCTCTTTCAACAAAAAAATTTACAGTAAAAAATCTTTCCCCTGTTTCAGTCCTAAAGTCCAACCATTTCCTGATTTATCACCACTGACCGAACATGTCAATTGACAGAAAAATGATAAAACCAAATTTGCAAACCCACTTCCTGCTCTGCCCACTCCCTTTCCGAGACCACCACGTCAATTTTGATAAGGATTACAAATCAAATCGCCGATCATATTGAACTCCATCCAATTTCCATGTCTATTTCTTCCTGCCCACCCCTTGACCACCCAATTTTTACTATCAAAGTTCTAGCGCAAGTTCAGTTAGACCAAGGTTATTAGATCAAAATGAAATTTCTTCAGGCTCCATTGTAAAATTCTCCAACTTTTTTCGGAAGAATATTTCAAAATGAATGAAGTTTTCGTTTTTTCCTTCCGTCCTGCCCGGAGGCTATTTTTGCCACACTTTTTTTGGGTCTTCTTCTTTTTCTGAACTTGATGCATGCACTCTTAAGCTTCGGAATTGTCTGATAAAACAAAAGGTCACGAAGGGAGGTCCTGGAGCTTTCAAAAACATTGGGAAAAAACAGCTGATGGGGAGAGAATAAAAAAATACAGTAATGAGTTTGGGCTTTTGAAGGGTACAAACTGAGAAAGAAAATGGTTTTAATGAAGTTTATCATAAATCACGATAAGTGGTTTTTATTGCAAATTTTAGATTATTGAGCTGCTCTCTACAGAGAGGCAGTTTTCTAGGGAAAAAAATCTTTCTTTTTGGTGATTTTTGGTAAAAAAAATTCAGGGCCAATTACTAGGAGGGCGCATAATATCTCAGCAAAAAATCCGGTCTTACATCCAGCGGCAGAAAAGTTATCGAAAAACTCCTTCTGGTCTGGCTGACTCTCCGCGCGCTCTCTCGCAAACAAAGTTGTTGAATTTGTGGACCCGGACGGCTGTGGAAAGGGCGTACAAAATTTGAAGAATTTGAAGCCAACACCGCTTCTAAAAATCCTCCCTTGCAAGCTGTTACATAAAGCCTACAAGTTCTGCCCATTTTTTCCCCGCCATTAAGCAACAATCAACATCGTTTATTCCTTCTACCGGTGCACTGTGCTCTGGAGACTCATTGCCGGACCACCCAAAACCTTTTAATAGCCAGCCCTCCCACATCTGCGCGACTGCGGCTTCAGCGTGCGGCGATTCATCGAAAAAAGCGGGGAGAAAGGTCCATCGGACCTCCAAGGGTTTTAATTTTGGTCGTTAGCCATGCCAAAAAAGACCATAATTAGCCAAATACCCTTCGCATTCCTTGCCGTGTGAAATGATGAAAAAAACGGAGATGATTAGAAAATTACGCTTGCTAAAAAATTTTATGAGTTTAGGAAGCTCTGATTAATTAGCGCAATCCTGGAAGGTTTGTTTAGGAAAAACAGAGCCGTTACAACATGAAAACACATAGCAGACAAATTATTCTTTTCTGCTAAAAGAGTAATAAGGAGAAATGACAGTAGTGGGAAACGGGAAAAGTCAATCCTTAGAATGAGGATAGTAACAAGAAGCCAGGGGCGTAGCTGACCAAAAATCATGAGCATGGAGAGAAGGAAAATTTTTCACATTTGTCACCGTGCGAAAAATTTTCTTTGCTCCTTCATTATCATTTTTTATTTGACCACGAAATGGTGGCCTACTACGGCCCAACAATAAGTCTTGACGTGAAATCAGAATTT